CAGATAGTCATGGTTATGTTCAGTATGTCACAAAACAAAAAGACATGATTGCTGGAAAAGAGAGAATTGACAGGATAGATAGGAGATAGGAAAGTTGTGGTTGAGAGAAATCAGAATGCATTGCACACCTGTGTGAAAGCAACAAAAAACACATTCAAGGAATGTTATTTTAAAAGACTGAGAAAAATTAGAAACAAGGATAGGATGGACTTGAAGACACAACTATGTCCAACCCTCCATTTTATACTTTTAAACAGCCATGGTGTTTTGAAATTGTTTAGTTACAGCTGAAATACAAATTTCCATATGTAAGTGCAGTAGCATTCCTTTAACATTCAATTACTGTAGAAAGGTGTTCTATTAGGAACTGGGATGAAATTCAAATACTCTTTTCATTCCTAATGAATCTCCCCTGCTTTGATTTGTGTACATCATTTTAGAATTTCACAAACCAGCTGTGAAATTGCTGATTTGTCTCCAGTGTGAATTTCTTTGTCAGGAAAGAAAATGCCTCTTTAAAAGAGTCCTCTTACTATGAAGAGAGAAGATATTTACATTCTTGCTCCAAACACACATACACACACACACAGGTCACTTCAAAGGGAAGCTACTTATTCCTTGAGAAAAAGGCAGGGCTGTCTGCAGAAACAGTTCTTTCAGCATTTGCTACGCACCCACCAATGTTAATGTTTGGCGCAGGCACCAAGAGAGGAGGTGAATGCTATCTATAAGAGACAGGCGAAGTTCATTCCTCAGAAACTCTTCAAACCTCAGACAGGGAAATTCCCCTGGCAGAATCTTTGTTTCTGTGAGACAAAACAAATCCATCCAACAAACGCATTTGATTCTTGCTTTATTTCGCTTTAAAATTCTACAACAATCAAAAACAGCACAATAACATGTTTTGAATGAGGCAGTGTTGAAAGGTAAGCATAGAAATGTACAGTATCATTAAAATAAGCAAAAAAGAGGGAGTCCAGCTTCAGGTGAGATTGGAAATCAGTGTGGCGATTCCTCAGGAAAATGGGAATTAATCTACCGCAAGACCCAGCAATTCCACTCTTAGGCATATATCCAAATGAGGCAAATTCATACAGCAAGGGCATCTGCTCCACTATGTTCATAGCAGCATTATTTGTAATAGCCAGAACCTGGAAGCAACCTAGATGCCCCTCAACTGAAGAGTGGATAGAGAAAATGTGGTACATTTACACAATGGAGTATTACTCAGCAGAAAAAAAAACAATGGACTCTTGAAATTCGCAGGTAAATGCATAGCACTGGAAGAAACCATCCTGAGTGAGGTAACCCAGTAGCAAAAAGACAAACATGGTATGTACTCACGCATATATGGATTTTAGACATGGATCAGGATAGTGCCAGTCTGCACTTCCACTGATAGAGAGTCTGGGAAACAGGAAAGAACCTAAAAGATATGCATATATGCATAGTACCCAAGAGAAGAGGATGGAGACAAGATCCTCTGAATTGATGGGGAGCACGGCGAGGGGTGGGGGGGAGTGGGAGCTGGGAAGAAGAGAAGGGGTGAAGAGGAAGAGAGTTGGTCATGGGGGAACAGGAAGTTGAGTGGGTGGGGGTAGAATAGGGGGAAGAGGGAATTATAGGATAGAAGACAAATCAGGCACCAGAGTGACCTCGAGTGATCTAAAGGGATAACACCAATTGGCAAGCAAAGCAATAGTGGAAAGACCACCTCGAATGCCCATCCCTGATAATGAACTTGATGTCTATAACCATCCGGGAGCCTTCATCCTGTGACTGATGGAAGCAGAGGCAAACATACAATTAATCACTGAACTGAACCCAAGGAACCCAGTGACAGAGAGAAAGGAGTGATGAGCAAATTGGCAAAGATTGGGCTGGCAAAACCAGCAGAGACAGCTGATCTGAACAGGGGAGAGCTCTTGGACCCCAGACCGACAGTGAGGAGGCCAGCATGGGACTGATCTGGACCCCCCAAATGTGAGTGTCAGCGAGAAGGCCTGGGCAACCTATGGGGCCCTGAGCTGTGGATCAGTGTCTATCCCTGGAATACAAACAGTCATCGTGTGCCTATAGCAGGAAGAGGGATGCTCTCTCAGCCTGGACTCTTAGGGGAGTGCCTGGACCCTACCCAGAGTGAAATGACAGACTCTAGATATCCCCTATGTGGAAGGATTTGGCAATAGGGTGGGAGGGTGGGGGGGAAGGGGAGTGCGGGAGGAGGGGAGGGAGAGGGAACTGGGATTGACATGTAAAACAAACTATTTAAAATTAAAATAAAAAATGATAAAAATAATAAGCAAAAAAAAAAGAGAAGCTGTTTCCCAGCAAATACTAGTCATTGACATATGGTATATGGGATCCTGAAAAACTGATTGGAGTTTTCCACAAAAATATTAACCTTATATGAATCCATACGAACTGACCATCTCCCTTTCAGCATGCTCACATTCTTATCCATCTGCCATCAAGGAAATCACATCAGATGGTCACCAGAGATGATGACTGAGATGAGCAGGATGGTTCACCAGAGATGAGAACCCCTCACCGAGACTGATGACTTGAGTGTGATCCCCGGTACCTACTCAGTAGAGGAGAGAACTGACTCCTGCAAGTTGTCCTCTGCATTCACACAGACATGCTGTCGCCAATGTACACACATACATGGCATCCACAAAATAACAACTAATAAATAAATACAGTGAAACTGTGTTAAAAATTTTTACAACAATCAATTGGATTTTGGTGCTGTTTGATTACATTTGAAAGTAAATGTATATATGTTGTTTATAATAATTTGAAACTCTTATGTAGTTCTGTCATTGGATTTACCACTGGAGAAACTATATCAAATAAACCCTTATACAAACAAATTAATGAATGGGCTGACAGCTACTCCAAATGCCAGCAACCTTTCCCTTCAAGTAGAATATCAACAAGGCTCCTTCTGAGAAAGCTCCATCCAATTTTCTGATATTTGTAAAATACTCAAAAGAGCAATACTGTATTTTACCAATGATTCAGTTTACATAGACGGCATTGTAATGTCTTCAACAGTACTTAATAAATGAAACAGTTACTATACGTATTACTATCACATTAGGATTTCTTGGCTTAGAAATATGTAACCCTCAACTACACATAAAAGCTCTGAAAGGAGAAAAACCTTCAGGGAAATCAAATTTTCATTTTGTTGAAATAAATTTGATTTTTTAGATGAATCACAGTGGTGTAAGAAGAAAACTTAAAAAGAAGTTTCAGAAGGAAAATGAATAATGGGAAATTCTTTTCTTATATGGTTTTCAAGGGTATTTCTTAAACTCCTGACCTTGACAAATATCACCTCTTGTGTACATTTTCCATTAATACTTATTTACTGTCTTGGTATTTCCACTCTGGAAAGAATTAGCCACATTGACTAGATATGGATAGTTCTTATGCATATGTGTTGGTCAAAATGTAGGATATATTTAAAACTCAAGATTATTATTATTACTGTTAGTTCTTCTACAAGAAAAGATCTTTAACTGTATCCATGGCTGCAGGAATAAAGAATGCATCTTTAAATTCACGCAGCAAATTTGGCCATTTCACTATTGCGGATAAGACTATAACACTTTGCAATCATGGGACCAACTTCTGTTATGGCAAAGCCTTGATCCATGAGATTAGAAAACACCATAACCAGTCATGTGGTCATGGCGCATGCCTTTTATCACAGCACTCAGGAGGCAGAGGCAGGTGGATCTCTGTGAGTTATAGACCACCCTGTTCTATAAGATCTACTTCCAAGACAGTCTCCAAAGTCACAGAGAAACCTATATCAAAAAACAAGAAAGAAAGAAAGAAAGAAAGAAAGAAAGAAAGAAAGAAAGAAAGAAAGAAAGAAAGAAAGAGGGAGGGAGGGAGGAAGGAACGAAGGAAGGAAGGAAGGAAGGAAGGGAGGGAGGGAAGGAAGGAAGGAAGGAATAGAAAACATCATAACCACTGTGGGCTGAATACTTTGTAGATTTTGTCTTCATGTATTTTCTCTCATAGCTGAATATAATCTCAACTAGTAAAGTACTAAAAAACTCGGGGGAAGAACAGCGGAGAGCAGTGTGAGAGATACCACAATAGAGGGAACCATTATAAGTTTGAGGAGAGTTCTGGCACTAGTGAGATTACCAGAGATCTACAAGAATGTTATGAACTGGCAAGTAAAGCAATAGTGGAGAGACTACCTTAAATGCCCATCCCTGATAATGAGTTTGAAGACTACCTTACATACCATCCTAGAACCTTTATCCAGTGACTAATGAAAGCAGAGGCAGACACCCACAGATAAACATTGAACTGAACTCCTGCAACCCAGTGACAGAGAGGGAGTAATGATGAGCACAGGGGTCAAGACCAGGCTGGTGAAACCTAAAGAAACTGCTGACCTGAACAAGGGGGAGCTCTTGGACTCCTGACTGATGGCTGGGAGGCCAGCATGGGACTGATCCAGACCCCCTTAATGTGGTTGTCAGCAAGGAGGCCTGGCCAATATATGGGGCCTTTGGCAGTAAATCAGTATTTATCCCTGGCATACAAATGGATTTTTGGTGCCCCTCCCACAATGAGGGATGTTCTCTCAGCCTCATTTGAGGGAGGGCCTAGGACATGTTCTGAAGTAAATGACAGACTCTGAATATCCCCATGGAGGGACTCACCTTCCCTGGGGAATGGAGTGGAGATTGAGTGGGAGGCTGGGTGGGTGGGGGAGGAAAGGACAGAGAGGGATCTGGGATTGACAGGTGAAGCAAGCTTGTTGCTAATTTAAATAAAAAAATAAGTATATGGAAGGGAAACTCCATGCAAGATAAAATAAACATAGAATGTCAAATACAATTCATCTCTGTCTTTCCCATTCATGAACCTCCACAACCTACCCAAGAGAAGAAACATACATTTCTCATGTTACACACAACAGCATCACATGGTTTATAAGAAAAGATCAAGTTGGTGAAACCTACCCTTTCTTTTCACCCAGAATCCACATGTACTGCTTCCTTCAGCTCAGTCTGAAGAACTTGATTCTCGGACACCAAGCTGCAGAAATTTCCAAGTGATCTCTAGCAGAATTTCCTCAGTGAGAAATCCTACAATGCCAAATGAATCTGGAAAAGAAAAAAAAAGAAAAGATGTTTTTAGTTTATGATGCAAATGAACTTGGGAATCAAAGGAGAAAATTATATAGAAAAGTTGTTTCAGTTGATGATACAGAGCAGAAAATGTAAGAAGTATTTTATTTATCTCTTTTACATTATTTCATATAATCCATGATGCATTTCCAACAAAGAAAATGGTATAGAGGAAGACCTGGAAATACACTTTGATTCCACATTGAAAGTGAAGAAGAAACATACAGGGAATGAGAAAAGTAAAAAATTCTTAATCTGACTGTGAGAAAAACAGAACATTTTTTCCATTTGGAGAGAAAAAACTGGTAGAAAGTACAAACAACAAGATTAGTGAGGTATGTCATGACGAGCACAGAAGATATGAGAGGGGAAAGTAAAGTGAAGAGGACACTATCTTTGGTACCTATTAGGCAAAAATAAAATCTCTTTCAACATGAGTCACTCACATGCTGATCCTCAGGCAGAGGTATCTGATGACTTCTGACAATAATGCAAACGGAAGATGCTCAGTCATTCTCAAAATACACCCTTCTGTCAAAAAATGAAACAACTGATTTCTACATGAGAGGGAGCTACTTCCCTGAATGGGGAGAACAATGAAGCAAGCCTGCCTGGCATTACTTCCTCCAGTCTATATAAATCCCAAACTGTTTGAAAGTGCAACTCCACAGCCTGGAATAGTTGGTACCCAGGCTTCCATGCCAGATGGTGAATGTAACAAATGAAATTCAAATAAAACTGCAGAAACTTCTTGAGAATAAGAAGCCCACAACTTTCTCTGTGCTCAATGCCCTGCCACCAAAACCCTTTAAGTTAATGTTAAAAAATGTGTCTTTGTTTTTTTTTCTTTTTCTAATTTAATGTGTATCATCATTGGTGTGGTATGGCATGCATGCGTTTGTATGCATGCTTGCATATGTACAGGCACATGGGTGTGTGGTTGTTCATGTGAAGACATAAGATTGGTATCAGGAATCATCTTTGATCACTTTTCCACCTTCTTCATTGAGGTTTAGTCTGCCAATCAAAGAGATTGCCCATATTGCTTAATCTCTTTAGTCAGTCTGTTCTGAGATTTTGGGGTCACCATATCCACTCAACATTTGCATGGGTTCCGAGGTTCTGAACTCCAGTCCTCACATGTGTGCAACAAATACTTGAACACTCACCCCTCATCACAGCCCCATAAAGTGCAATTTTTAAAGCAAGCATGACAGTGCCTGCCAGTAATCCCAGCATACAGAAGTCAGAGACAGGTAGATCACTACAAGATCAAGACCAACCTGGTCTACATAGCAAGGTCTTGTTTCAAGAAACAAACAAAACTATGCTATGCCATTCTAAACATTTTAGATAGGACTCAACTGGCAACAAGAGCAATAACATTAATTGTTTCATCAAGACATTGACACCTCATGAGGATTTGGGATTTTCTTTTGGTTCTTACTAAGGAAAGCCCAAATACATTCCTTTCTTAACTAGCTTACTTTTATCTTAGTTCACCAATATAAATTCTGTATAAATCTTCTAACTATGAATGATCTCTATGAATCAAAATATCACTAAAAAGGACATGGAGTAGTTTGAGGAAAGGGAAGGGGAAAGCAATATAAGTATATTATCATCTTAAAAAAGAATAATTTCAAAAATAATGCAGAAAATCATGTAGGGAACAATAGGAAGATTTTTCTGACTCCAAATAAGGTACAACAATTTTTTGGTAAATTCTTCCTAATTCTTCTTCATATGGTAGTGAACATGATGCAGAATGTTGAGTAAAGGAATGAGAACTCATGTCTGTGTGGGTAGTCTGAGCATCAGTCAATGTGATAGTCATGCTTGCTTAGGAATGCAAAAGCAGCAAGTTGAGAGCAAGAATCCACCTGAAGAGCACCTGGGGAATCTACCATAGCAGGGGCTGATTTAGACCTCATTTTGTCTGCAGCTTTCCATTCACTACTTGGGATATTTACTAGAGTTATTTTATATTGCACTTGGTTTCATTTTCTGTTTCTGTTGCTCTTTTTTGTTTGTTTTAAAACAGGGTCTCAATATGTGGCCCATGTTGTCCTGGAATAGCAACAGGTAGTGCAAGTAACTCCAGTTGTATGTGTCGGATTTTGTATACTCTTGATTTAATTATATTTTTCCTATGTTCTGCTTTTTATTGCTACTTGCTATTTTCATTTTTAAACCCTTTCTTTCTATATACTTAATAAACTCATTCATTTGAAACTTAAATTACAATTACTATAGAGTGTTCACAACTACTAAAATGTTGGTTTTATTCCGATGATACTCCTGCCTCAGTCACATAAGTATTGAGATTATGGGTTACACCACCATACTTGGTATAAACAAATAATTATTTAAAAATATCCAGAAAACCCTCCAAACTTCTCATTAGACTCATCTGCTTGTCTTCTGTGTACTCTACCAGCTAGTGAGAGTGTGGGCAACTAAAACCAACCCCTGATTTGTTGAAAACAGTATAGCCAGGTGTGGTGGCATACAGTTATCCCAGGACTTGGGAGGTGGAGGCAGGAGGATCACAGGTTTAAGTCCAGCTAGGACTGGGTAGCAAGATCCTGTCTCAGAAAATCAAAGGCTAGTGAGTGTATCTTAGTGTTAGAATGCTTGCCTAGTGAGTGCAAGGCCCTGAATTTGTTCCCAGCAACACACAAAGTATAGCCAAAATATAGCACCACCTAAAAGAATGCGTTTATTCCCCCCTCCTAAGTGACTCCAGAACCAAAACCTCATGAAGGAACCAGTGTGGAGGTGGTAAGACATGTTCTCTGCTCCCGCTCTTTCCTCTCTGGCAAGTGGTCCCCCAGGTCCCCCTGAGCCCTGCAGTTCCAGGCTACGGCAGCACTTCTGGATTTAAGGCTTAAGATCCCAGCACAGATTGTGTGTTCTGCTGAGACCCCTAGAGGAAATGAGCAAGGGATTGTAAGGGAAATTTCGCTTTTGGGCTGAGAGGTAATAGTTCCCAGAGTCCTGGAAGCCTAAGGTCTTGGTGGCTCAGGTCTCACCTCTCCACTGAGTCCCCCCCATAGGGTCAGCAAGCTCTGCTGGGGAAGGGATAGTCTGCAAATCCCCGATGCCAGTGCTCCATTACCCTGAGCCTGTGTGTGGTGCACTGAGGTTACGCTCATTGGGAGTGACGCTGTACTGTGAAGCGAGCTAGGTTTTTTCTGGTCTCCCTGGAACCCAGCTCCCTGCCTACGAGGAAGTGTGCAAACCCCTCTGCAGCCATGTCCACCAGAAGACAAGAAATGGAAGCTCTGCCCTTGTCATAATGTTTAATCACATAAATTAATTTATCTAATCACATAAATTATTTTTTATTCATCAGAAATAAAGGAATGACAAAAAATATTTAACAAGACAAACAAGAAAAAACAACAGCTCATAGAATGGGAAAATATATTCACAAACCCCACATCTGACAGAGGGTTGGTCTCCAAAATTAACAAAGAACTCAAGAAGCAAGTCTCCAGAAAACCAAAGGATCCAATTAAAATATGGGGTACAGAGCTAAATAGAGAATTATTAATAGAGGAGTCCAAAATGGTCAAGAGACACTTGAGAATGTGCTCAACATCTTTTACTATTAGGGAAATGCAAATCTAAACAACTCTTAGATACCATCTCACTCCTGTCAGAATGGCTAAAATCAAAAACACTAATGACAGTTTATGCTGTAGAGGATGTGGAGAAAGTAGTACACTCCTCCACTGCTGGTGGGAATGCCAACTTGTGCAGGCACTTTGGAGATCACTATGGAGTTTCCTCAGAAAAATGGAAATCGGTCTACCTCAAGATCCAGCAATTCCACTCTTAGGCATATACCCAAAAGATGTACCCTCATACAATAAGGACATCTGCTCAACCTTGTTCATAGCAGCATTATTTGCAATAGGCAGAACCTGGAAAGAACCTAGATGCCCCTCAACTGAAGGTGGTACATTACACAATGTATTATTACTCAGCAGAAAAAATGGAATCTTGAAATTTGCAGGCAAATGGATGGCACTAGAAGAAACTATCCTGAGTGAGGTAATCCAGTCACAAAAAGACAAACATGGTATGTACTCACTCATATATGGATTTTAGACTAGGAGGAGGGCATTGCCAGCCCACAATCCCACCGCCAGAGAGTCTGGTGTACAGGGAGGATCCTAAGAGAGATATGCATGATAACCTGGAGAAGGGTTATGGGGAGGGGGAGAAGGGGAGGGCAGAAGGAGATGGGAGAAAGAGAGGGAGAGAATAGAAGAAGAGAGGACGACACGGGAGAGCAGGAAGGTTGAACCAGGGTGAGAATAGAGGAGAAAAGGATGGAAGATACCATGAAAGAGGGAGCCAGTATAAGTTGGAAAAGAGATCTTGCATTAGTAAGATCTTCACAGATCTACAGGAATGACACAAACTGGCATTAAGGATACCTTAAATGCCCTCCCATGATGGTGAAAATGATGACTGCCTTCTATGCCATCCTAGAACTCTCATCTAGTGACTGATGGAGACAGAGGCAGACACCCACAGCTGTGAACCAAATTGAACTCCTGGAACCCACTTGCAAAGAGGAGTGATGACCAAGGGTATCGGGATCAGACTGGCGAGGCCCACAGGGGCAGGTGACCTAAACAAGGCACATCACATGGGCCCCAGACTGATGACAGACATCCTCCCACCAAACCTGGGTGATGGAGAGGAGGCATTGGCAATCTGTGGGACCTTGGAGAGTGGAGCAGTATTTATTCCTGGCATACAGAGGGACTCTGGGAGCCCATGCCAAATGTAGGGATGCTCTCTCAGCTTGGACACATGGGGAAGAACCTGGGCCATTCCCGGGATGATGTGATGGACTCTGGAAATGCCTCATGGAGGCCCTTGCCCTCCCTGGCAAGTGGAGTGGGTTGGAGTGAGGGTGAGGATTTGGGAGGATTGGGGAGTGGGGGAGGTGGGGA